CACACGCACACACACACACGCACACACACACACGCACACACACGCGCGCGCACACACGCACGCACACACACGCACGCACAAGGTATATAATCACATAACAAATGAATGTGGAAAAAAAGATCTTACCTTTCAATGATTAAAGCAGGTATACTTTCTAGCATGGCAATCTCTTTCAGCATCCTTACACCACAACTGCCATCTCATACTGACAAATGTGACCCGTAGCTAATGGACATTTATAGTGATGGGCAAAACCATTGACAGTCACGCAAGATAACAGAAATTAAATTCATCAAAAACTAAACTATATAACTATAAACTATGTAACTATAATCAACAAATTATTTATCAGTCATGTATTCCATCATTGGTAAGGCATTCAAATTTTAAAATAACAAACAATCCACTTCATCCTCTGCACTTGGTTTCTCCTACCTCCCATAATGCACCACAGCACAGATATTCCAGACATTGCATTCACATAATGTATCTCATAACCCTGTACTTCAGTTACATCTGATCAAATGCACATTAAAATTATTTTGCTTGGGTTGAACACATAATTTTTTGCCTAGTTGGAACAGCAGCTATGCTGATTTCTTCTCTATTTCCTTCTCTGTTTCTGCCACGGGATTGGCATCATGTGGTAACTAGGAATCACACAAGCTTCAGTCTGGATCCAGCCCTTACAAAGACCTGAGATGACCGAACACCTGCGAAGAGATGATGCAGACCCCTCAGACAACATACAAAACTACCAAATTTTGCTATAAGTTTGATCGCAACATATAGTCATTGCTGTTAAAAGTGTTCACCATCTGTTTGATTACATGTCATTAACTAACTGCTTGATTTTACCGTACATTTCTGCCATATGGACATCAACTTGAGATAGTCACCACTGATAAGATATTACTAAATATAATGTAGAAACTATAATTTTCTGTAAAGCTGCTTTGCAAAGATTTGCATCGTGAAAAGCGTTAAAAAAGACATTGCAGCAGTGCCTATGGTTTTTCATCTGGTTTGCAGTAAATTGGCACATTTTGGCTGGTTTGGATTATATTGTGCTGTTCTTCTAGTGGTGGTGAGATTAAGCTTCATAATTTTGTAACTTGGGCGGTGCTTTTGTTGAACAGAGGGAAATTATGGAGTTATTTAGACTGAATAAAAGAGGGTGAAAGTGATTAATATGGACTGAACAGAAGGCAGTGGAAGTTTAAAAACAATATTTCTCTTCCACTGGTTTCAGGCTGAGTGGATTCGCCAAAAGTGAACCCTTTCTCGAAGCACTGCAATCAAACAAAGCTTCGAACATCACCAGTGTCCAGTGACGTCACTTCACTAAAACGATACAATCAACTGTCAATCAGATTTGAGGGTGGGGTTTATTGATATAGTCGGAGATTATGCCACGCCCACTACTGGTGGAAAACCAAGTTTTCATTTTTATTCATTCCTATGAGGAAAATAGGGACAAATATCCAATAAATTTGTCTATCTTTGCAACTAAAAAGTTGTTGTGTAGTTTTTTGTTTTTCTTTCACTTCAAACAAATCCAAAAACCCGTAACTAAATATGTATCACCTGCAAACAAAGGAAGACTGTTCTGGTTGCAAGCAACATCAAGAGGAAATGAAGATAGATCTGTGGAACCTCTCAACTGAAGGGGGTCGCACAATGGACGAGAAGCACAGCGCTGCATCACATCTTAAAAATTCGCACTGTTTTCTATGTGTGAATGCACACCGGCGCGCCACTCAGCATCTGAACGTGCCACAGAGCACCACTCACTACTTTTACAGTATATTTGTCCCAAATGATTGTTAATGTACATAATGACTTCCTCCTAGGCTGGAAAATCTTCTATTGTGCATTTTTCAGCAAAACGCTAATCTGTGGCTTGAATAAAGTCTGGCTGCTTCATATAAAGAGCTATACTAGGGATCATGCATTCTCTTTCCGTTTGTCAAACACTTAAAACTCATCGACACCACTTTGTTCATGAAGTGAACTTTTGCCTGTTTGGTGGTTAGATTAACGGTTTTGTCTTGTATGATACCTGTGAGTTGTTCTAGACACGGCGCTGCACTGCTCGTCCTGTGTGCAACCAAAAATTAGGTCTGACAATTTATTACATTAAAAAGATACAAATATAGGTTATGAATAAATTTTTTCTAAATTATGTTGAATAAAATGCCGAAATATGAAGAATTCAGAGCATCCTGAATTGAACAAGCTCTGCGATTGAATGTCACTACTAATGTCATTTACTTTTTTCTTTCTGATTTTAATTCATCAAGATAATTTACTGTGTCTGCTGGAACTGTGATTATGATATTCATTCAAAAAATTATTGAATCCAACTACCCCAGTATATGGTTCTTCGACATTGTTATCAAATTAAATTTTACATTCTTTTTTTTATCAATACAAATGTTTGGTTTTTTTTTACTCATTTTGTCGTTGTTGGATAAAAGTTGTCTAAAAGGTGTAAATAGGGTCATCATGGAATTTATGATTCCACTTCTCCACATTTTTAAGTGTT